GAAATGTGGGATCAACATATAAATCAAGTATAAAAATCAAACAAACATTCATATTTGACCTGATTGTTTATAGTTCATAATGCGTGATCAAAACCGAAAGTTTCTGTGATGACTGCCCTTGTACTGTTCACCATGTAAGAACTTATTCACTATGTAAGAATTTGTTCACCATGCAAGAACTTGTTTGTTATGTTTCAGAAGATTGGAGACTGACGAGAATTAGGCTTGGGGTGGATTAATGATTGTGCATTGAGCATTGACTCCCCTATACGGAATTTTATTGTTGTTAACAACCATTTGATCAATAAATATGAGAGATGCCCTCTCAAAAAAAAAAAAAACATTTCAAGGATTTTAGCTTTGGAAAAACAAATTTATAAGATGATTAGTGTCAGATATCATTGGCCCCAGAGGCTAACTTTATGAGAAGACATAGATAAACTAAAACTTTACTGAGACACCATTTTAATCCATAGTTTCATCTTCTGTCAAATGTTATACAAAGCTGACATTCTAAAGCAAGTGAATGTATTATCTGATGGTAGAAGTAGTACATAGGAATAGCGAATACTTAAAGTAGTTACTGCATGCAAGCTGCTGTCCACTAATTCACTGAATACTCCCACTAAATTTATTTGATAAGTATTATTATCATTCCTGTGTTTACAGATGAGGAAACTAAATCACATAGAAAATAAACAACTTGTCCAATGTCACACAGCCTGAAAAATATCAGAATCAGGTTTTGAACCTGGGTGGTCTGGCTCCAGAGGCTGGTAGTACTGCCCCACCAATATGTTTACTTTAGAAAATTTAGAAAATACAGAAAATTGTAAAAAGAAAAACAATCACAGAACTATACAAGGTATAAAATGAAAAAATAATTCTTGCCTCACATTCAATCCCATTCCCAGGAGGTAACCACTGTTAATAGTTTCTTGTCTACCATTTCCATTAACATATATACATACATAGGTATCCTCTTAAGCCCCCCTCATATAAATGGGCTGTTACTCTATGTAATATTCTATTATTCAATTGTTTTTTTTAATTTAACATTATCTCTTGGAGATATTTTCATATCAAGGTATATAATTTCCTTATTCTTATTAACAGAATTCCTTTATGTAATGTGACAATTTACTTGAACAGCCCCCTTTTGATGGTTGTTTACTTATTTCCAATTTGTGCTCTTATAAATATTGTAATGAATATTTTTGTATATGGATGAATTTGTGCACACTTGTTATAGGATATATTCCTAACCTGGATAAGAGAGTATATGCACTTAAAATTTTGATATTATCAAATTGCCCTCCCAAGAGGGTACTTCCTCCAGTGAATGTGGAAGTTTTCATTCTCCAAGGCCCACCCTAATACCATGTTTTCCTTAAAAGTCTCTAATAATGTAATAGGTAAAAATGTTATATTGCTTTACTTGGTTCTTTTATTGCAAGTAAGGTTCAGCATTTTTATAATAGGCTATTTATTTATATTTATGTTGCAGCTCTTTGCCCATTTTTCTCATTGATTTAAATAATCCTACTGACTTAAACAATCCTTATTTCTTATTGATTTTAAAAACCTTATTGATCTATAATGTCTTTTAATATGAAGGAAGCTAACCCTTTGTCTATCATCCCTGACAAATACTTTTTCCAAGTTTGTTTTGTATTTTAACTTTCTTATAGCACCTCTTTTTTCTGCAGAAGTTTTACAGTTTTATGTATTCAGATTTATCAATCTTTCCCTTTATAGCTTCTTTCCCACTCTAAGATTTTTAAAAATTCAGCAGTGTCTTCTCTAGTAGTTTCACTTTTTATATTAAAATGTTTGATTCACCTGAAATTGACAGGACTGCCCTTGGGGATTGTGGTTGCTCCTAAACAGTCCTCCTGACACCCCCTCACTCACCGGCCTCAGCACTCTGCACACCTCCTGGAGGATCTGTTCCTGGTTCTTCACGGAGCACAGGACCAGGGTGCAGACCACCACATCCACGGAGCCGTCACCCACCTGGTGCATGTTCTCCCCGGCAACCACCACGAAGCGCTCGAACTGCAGGTGTTGGTTCTCAGCAACGCTCTTGATCAAGAACTTCTCAAAGTTGGGATTCAGGTCAATACAGGTCACCTTGCTTCCAGGCAGATAGAACTTGAAGTTGGTCCCGGTGCCACAGCCTACCTCCAGCAGGGAGAGTTCCTAGAGGGGCCCACAAAGTCCTTCAGGTTACTGAAGAGCTTCCGCTTCTTGCTCGCCATCTGTTCATTGTATATCACAGAGAACCTCGTCAAGAAGTAGGGGAACCATTGTTGGCATATCCAGCTCCACAAACCCAGAAAGTTCAGCAGGTACATGGGAGATGCCAGGATGCAGACAGCCAGCCTAAGGATAAAGATGGTAAGCATCATCACTTAGAAGAGAAAAAAAAAAACAGTGGTTAGAGGTCTGACTCTAATTGCAGGCGGTAGGTTTCTGGCCACACTCCAAGGTCAGTCATCCACAGGGGAAGAACTGGCTGTACAGGAATGATACAGCTGAAGTCAAATCGTGGGTGAAAAGGCTCATTTTACCCATTTAATAGACATTTGGCAAAAGCTAACTCATAGCATAATTTTCATGAAGCAAAATGGGAAGGTCCCGAGCTTTTCCTTAGAAGGAAATTTAATTGCAATCCCTTATTCCAAGGAGATTCCTGTTTTCCCTTCTGTAGGCTCAGAGACCAGTTGCCAGTTGGCTGCTGGAGTTTTATACACATAGTGCACTCACATCCTGTTGGGATGCTCCAGTGACCTTTGAAAGGAAAATCGAATCTGTGGGTGGAGCCTGGTTAAGCCATATCAGGAGACTGCTGCCACCAAGTTCCTTTTATTTCAAGGTGCTCTCTTCCCACTCTCCCTCATCTCGCCCCATTTTTTTAAAAAGGAGGTGAAAGGGCATGCCTGTTTAGCCACAGTTAACAAGAGTTCCCCCTTTTGCATTCTGGGCTGAGGCTCTCAGATTTTCCTAACTCAACAATAAGATTATTTTTCAGTCACTCTTTTGGGCTGTCCATCTTTTAATTACTACATTACTCAGGTGATTTAGATAAAAATAATATCCAGAATATTGTTTGCAAACCTAAAATATTCAGGAAATAATTTCAAACATTCACCTGCTTTTAGCAAGAAAGCCTGGACTTTAGGGTCGTCAGGGAACACAGAAATTATTTTTAAAAATATTTTATTAAAAAAATAATGGTAACATTTTTTTAATCAAACTGGGTGGTGGATACAGGGAGTGTTCTCTTCCATTATTGGTTATACTCTACACATATTTTATAAAGACTATATTCCATTTTAACAGCTTTTCCAAGTGGAATTGACATCAATAAACTACACGTTTAAAGTGTACAGTGTAAGTTTTGACATATGAACATACCTGTGAAGCCATCACTTGAATCAAGATAATGAACATATTCATCACCCACAAGTTTCCTCATGCCCCCCTGTGATCCCTCCCTCCTGCCCTCTGCATTCCAAGGCAGCCACTGATCTGTTTTCTGTCACTGGAGATTAGTTTGCTTTTACTAGAATTTTATATAAATGATGCATTATATACTTTTACTAGCTTCTTTCACTTTAACATAATTGAGAGTCATCTATATTGTTGCATGTATCTATTGATTTTATTTCTGAATAGTATTCTATTTTATTGTTGACAAGTCTGTAAAACATGAAATTTAATCAAGGAGAACTTTTTTCTTTTTTTCTTTTTTGTTATCATTAATGTACAATTACATGAAGAACATTATGTTTACTGGGGTTCCCCCTTCACCAAGTCCCCCCCCAAAAACCCCATTAGTCACTGTCCAGTGTAGTAAGATGTTGTAGAATCACTACTTGTCTTCTCTGTGTGCACAGCCCTCCCCATGCCCCGCCCCATATTATACATGCTAATTGTAATACCCCCTTTCTTTTTCCCCTCCCTTATCCTTCCCTTCCCACCCATCCTCCATAGTCCCTTTGGTAACTGTTAGTCCATTCTTGGGTTATGTGAGTCTGCTGTTGTTTTTTTCCTTCAGTTTTTCTTTGTTCTTATACTCCACATATGAGTGAAATCATTTGGTATTTGTCTTTCTCTGCCTGGCTTATTTCACTGAGCATAATCCCCTCTAGCTCTATCCATGTTGTTGTGAATGGTAGGATTTGTTTTCTTCTTATGGCTGAATAATATTCCATTGTGTATATGTACCACATCTATCCATTCATCTACTGATGGACACTTAGGTTGCTTCCATTTCTTGGCTATTGTAAATAG